CCCCCCCCCCTCCCGCTCCTCTAAATGAATTTTATTTCCTTAACGCAGAGATGGGAGAACATTTCTTGCGTTGCAGATAAAATATATTTCTGCAACAACTGTTGCGTCTGCGCAACGGGGAAGCCTTCTGGGAAATAATGGTGGTTACATCGGCCGTGTGAAAATAAGTTGGTCGTCAAGAAGATAGGGGAATTTACCCATCAGCAGAATACGTCCCCTTCCCCTCTCCCTCCCCCTTACATTCACCAATAAAACTTCGGAGTGACAACTGCTTTAGGTACTCTAGACCACTTCTGTAGGAGATACAGCCATCTTAAAGGGGGACACCTCTTAACATAAAAATATCTGGAAGATCTGGTTGAAATGCAATAAAGCTGATCAGATGTTACTCTTTTAGTCCACTGGAAAATTTCATGGAGTAACGGGAAAAAAGATAGCCCCATTTTCCCGTTGGGCCGTTCCGATCGATTAAAAACTACTGTATCGTTAATTATACAATATGTCGAATAATTCTCGCATTTTGATTAACCCTTACATATAATGTATTGGAGGACAGACGCATAGATGACGTCATTAACATTTCTTTAAGCACTGCGCTACTTGTTTCAAGCTCTTCGCTGACGAAGTGCAACAACGCCTGTCAACAGCGCATAGATGGAATACATTTCGTTTCAGTTTATGAATTTCAAATGAATTACATCAGTAAGAATTGAATCAGGCAAAGGCCTTTGTATTGAGAAATAGGCTCTCAGAGCTCTTTGATTTGTTTCTTTTAAGAAATAAATAATATAAAGCAAGTTGATTCCATTTTAAGGGCCCTATTTCCCTTGTAGGGAAAGGGACATCATGAGATTCCATTTTGGCGTGCGTCTGTTTAGTAATAGATCATAGAAGACGTCAAAATGCGGTAAGAACATCAGTGACACACACGACTATCGCCTCGTGTGCCCTATATTGACGTCATCTGTGATCTATTACTGAACAGACGCACGACAACATGGAATTTCGTGCTTCAAGGAAATGACGGGTTTTTGGGGGGATCGATAGCCAAATTCCTAACCGAAATTTCTCAGTGGAAATTACTTGCATGGAATGGCAAACAATCCAGCTGCGCTCGTCGAGACTTCTAGAGCCATATGTCTGAGCTAGTCGTGTCTGGATATTTTCTTAGCCCATAACCCTATGTTTGACAGATAAAAACTGTGACAGCCGTGAGTACCGAGTGACGAGGCAACTACGTCACTCGCATGAGGGAGAGACTGAGTTCGAGTTGAAAACTGTACGCTTCGAGGAGAGTTTCGTGCTTCAAACTCTCTGTTAGCTATCTTAGGTCCCATTAGTAACGCCTCCACTACAATGACAAAGGCTGGACTCATAGTATACAGCCTGTGAAACAGTCGTGACAGTCATCAGTGATTATGCGATGATTGTCACGGATGTTCTGACGTGACTGTCACGAGCTTTTCCAGTCAGGTCGTCGATACTTCAAAACGAGGCAGAATTGTCTGCTTCGGAAGCATGCAAACATGGCGTCGCAAGTCAGTTTTAAAAGAGCAAAGTTCATGTTTGAATGCGTACAGAAGAGCTTGTGAGCAGTTATAAATCGAAAAGAAATTATTTGCAAGGGTTCTTGCAACAGAAACCGAAGGCACAATTTTCACTCCCAAAGAGTCAAAGACACGAGAAGGTCGTAACAGGATCGAGTGTTTTGAGTTTGTGCTTGTAGCATAAGTTGCATGTTCTGAGCAGAATGGCAGATAGTGGACTAGAGACACAAACAATCGAACACATCGAACTTAAAGTCGATGATAATCCAGTTGAAGATCGCATTGATATTGACATAAAGCAAGTTACAGAGGAAACGACTCCTATAAAATTGGAAAGTGATAGTGACGAATTTGAGTTTGGCTTTGGAAGAGATGAAGCAGTTGTTATTACAGAGCAAGATATAGAGGGTATGTCTGAATCTTCGAAGGAACAATCAACAGAGGTTTCAGGAGATATGAACAAGGTTTATGAAGAATGGATCTTTGTAGACGTAAACAAATCCACCCATGAAGTGAAAGAAAACTTGCTTATTTTGAGTTCAGTGTACGGAAATGATCAAGTATGTTGCACAGTCATGTAAACAGTGGAGATCGTTTAAAAAACGTTTTGCTGATTGAATAATAAGGTATTGGTTTTTGTTGTTTGGCTTACAAAGCCCCATAAGTTATGACAAGGAATTACGTAAATGAAGAGTTTTGGTTTATTTACATTTGGTAAAATACAATAAAAATATCTCTGTTTTATATGTCAGATTGAATAGTTAGCAAGAGAAACAGTTTAGTACATACATAATGGATATTGGACCAAGTGAAATTCAAATTAGTCTGTAATCATGATTGATAAGCAAAAAATCAGATGACTGCAAGGTTTGAGTAAGACTTTTTTAACCCAGGCCTTTTTATTACAGAAGAAAAATTGGACGACCCAAATTGCTTATATCAAATTGTTTCACCATAACTGCAACATAACTTTGAGGAATGATAGCCATTGATGATGTAGTGTACTGGATAAAAGCATAGCAGCTAAGGATTTATTTTAGATGAAAGAGGGGACCATTAGCATTCAAGGACAATGCATGTAAGTGATGTGTATCGTCCAGTGATGCAGACATGCATTAACTGTCCTAAGCTGGTCTTATTTATAGTGTTCTGATTGGTCCATCAGAATTATAGGTTTCAAAGGTACCTTTGTGGTTTTGCAACTTTTGATTCAACTTGAAACTGTGTCTTGCTTTTTTGTGTCTAGTATTTGTCTGTGAGTCTAATGTTACAGTGCAACTAAGCAAATTCTTTGCAAATTGGCCACTAGTAATTTACATTATGTAAAAGTTTTAAAATAGTTACTAATCGAAACGACCACAAATCTGTTGCCTTTGTAATGTACAGCTTCATTATATGGATAATTTGTTGGAAAACTATTGTTAACCTTGACGATTTATATTCATCACATTTGTAGAAAATTGGTTAGAGTGGTTGTACTGTAAGTGTTGGTCTTGGATTTTCAAACCAAAATCGCAGCATCTTGGCAGGTCTCAAACAGTTTGAAATTCATCACCTCTATAATTTTCAAATTTATTATAGCCTTGAGTATGATGTTGATATTAATGACTTTTTTTTAACTCTGAGAATCAGTTGTTACTATTCTTTGTTCTTTCTTTATACTCTTTAGAGCTCAAACATTTCCAGGGATGTTATTTTCAAATTGATTTTTTTTCAGTCATTTGATGAAACATATAAAACTTAGTAAAGCAGTATGTAAATAATCAACACAGAACAACCCTAGCATAGTAAACTGTACTGATGTAACAAATCTCTAGTTATAATAAACAAATCTTGTGGGACTGGCCATTTACCCTAAAGAGACACTGTCTGGATCCTGTTAGTTACATACAGTGAAACCTGTATTAAGTGGACCCCATATTAAGTGGACACCCTCTATTACATGGACACCAGCTTGAGTCCCTAAATTTCCTTCCCACATGCACTTTAAAATAAGGCAGTGAACATCTCTGTTAACCGGACACAGAAACCAATATTAAGTCATTTTGTTGCACAAAACCTGCAAATTATAGGGAGACACTTCAAGGGCTTTTTACTTCTCAAAGCTCAGCTCAGACTCCTTTAACATTGTTCAGCAATACTGTTTTAAAGCTATTGAGTAGATATTCCAGATTGATGCACTGACTGACTGGACATTGTGGATCATTGTGGTATGAGCAGTCTTTGATCTTACACTGTGTTACAAAAGGGTTAATGATTATCTCTTATTGCAAAATATATTAGAACCTGTATATTAGATACTGGTGAGTTTTCCAAGGGTGTCCGCTTAATATGTGTTTCACTGTATATTAAACAGTGTGTTAAATGACGAAGGTGATATATGTATTAAAAATACAACTGTAAGTAAAAAAATTGTTGTTCCCACACTTTATTCAGAAACAGTTGCCATTTTGGCAAACATTGAAAAATGTTGTTCTCTAGTCAGTGTCCAATAACCAATGATGTTGGGGAGAATTTGATCATAGATCAGGTAACAGTCTTAGTCCATCAATTGCTATTAGTCTCTTGCTTCAGTACAACTCCTTCTTGTACAGGTTAGCTAAATGGCCTTTTATCTTGTATGTTTTCGTTTCCTGTTTTGACTTTTCTTAGCATTAAATTGTAATAAAGATATTGAATTGTAATGAATAAAGAAATAAATATACAACAAGTCATATAGATTATAAGTTGCACATGACAGACTGACCACCTGAACCTTGACTTATTGATCATTACTGTAAATATCTCTCAACAAAAATTGTACGCACTGTCTGACTTTAATCACAGTCTTATTATGATGGATATTCTATATTATAAAAGTAAAAATTTCTTGAAAGTAACATTGTACCCATCTCCGGAAGACCTAACAGGGAAAGCGACTAACTACAAAACTGACGGGGATTGTTTGGTTGATTGACATTGTCAAAATATATCCGTGGATTCAAAAAAAAAATGGACTGAAAAAACTGACGCATTTGTCTTTAGAAAGGCATTGGCACTGAAGAGTGGACGAAGAAATCTGATCTGCAAAAGGCCAAAAAGTAACCAAAATGGGCACAAAAGTGACACATTTCGTTTAAAAATATGAGCTATGCAACACGTCAATCGTAAAACGTAAGCTTTGATCGAATAATACCACAAGTGGCCCCATGCACAAGTAGGAAACATTGTTGGTGCAAAATAAACGACTCGTGAAACTTTAAAGAAAAGGGAATTGTGTATGAGAAGAGGATGTAGTCTTACCAATAAACCAATTTCTGAGCGTTCAGTTCGTCTTGATCATCGCTATGCAGAACTTGCGGTGAAAGCTGAAATTCTGCTTTCTCCGCAGGACCCTCTGCCCCTCTGCAGAGGTTCGAAACGTTAGTTATAGAGTCGCTGTGTGAGGTGAGTGCAGGCGCAAAGTCGAGTGGATCGATAACCTTGGACCTGCACTCATATTGTTTAGCGGATTCTCCCCACTCGAAAAAAAAAAACCTTTTGAGCTTCTGTGTAGAAGAGAGGACCTTCTGCACGAGTTACGCCCACAAGAGGCACGCCAAACAGCGAATATTGGCTAACATACATATCGGACTTTTTCTGCTCGGCAAGAAAGACAGAGACAAGTGAGTTCAGTTCTCCATTACGGAATAGCTCATGCAACCTAAAATGCTTAATTTTTCTGAAATTTTATTCTTAGACTGGAAGGGACAAGTAACCAAATGGTACCATAAGAGTTTGTATGGAATTCGAAAATTATCTCCTTATGGATCAAACATTATCTCCGTTTATTCTTTGGAAAGCTACATCAAGTCTTAAACCGTTTTTCTGTCGTTTGGGTGCTTCTGTGTGTGTATGCCATTTGACCGATTTCGTTTTAACGGTGGGTGGTGTGAAAAATCGACCCACGTGGTTTACAGCCGCAGTAGCCTGCGTAGCAGGCGTATAAAGGGGAGGGGGGTGGGGGAGAAGGAAGAGAATTCGGGGAAGAAAAAATCCCTTCCCCGAAATGTCCTCGAAATCTCTTCTCCTCCTCCACCCCATCCCCTTTATACGCCCGCTACGCAGGTTTCAGCTGCAGAAGCGTCAAGTACCCGAGGAGGTTTTTAAAGACTTTTAATATTGTAACTTTTCAACGGAAAAAAAGCAATAGTTTTTAATGTTTTCGATCAAATTTCAAAGTCCATAATGACAGACGTTTACAGAACTTCATATAAATTTCTGATCATAAGAGCATAAGAAATAAGCGTGCATTCAGTCACGCAGTCAGTTTCGCTTACGATATCGGTTTGTTCAATGAACACACAGGAAAGTCAGTAACGCTTCAGACAGGGTCACTGTGGGACTCGACAACAAGAAAGGAATTCATAAAGGGTGAATAACTAGCAAAGTTGTCCAAATGTAAGCTTACATTTATACACGCGAGGATCCAGTATTTCTTTTGAAATTCCTTGAAAAACCTGATTTAATAAAAACTGTAAGTAAGTACATGTTGAAGATATTTTCCGCAAAAGATCAGCCAATTGCGACACATGTTTGCTAGCAGATATTTGTGACGTAATAATTTCGTCGACTACACGACCCTCCTCTAGCCAAAGTTCATTTCCTCTTTCTGGGGAACTCAGTGCCTCGTGGAAACTGAATAAGTGTTCGTCAAATACAAATCAGCGAGAGCTAAGCGAAAGAAAAGGTAAGTGCAGTGCCGACTCGGCAAATTATTTAGCTTTTGCCGCTGTAAGGATAGCTTACAGAATCTTACAGCGTACCAGGATCTCGTGTTTATCATGACCACTGTAAACGGCGAAACACATCGTCCGGTCACGAGACTGCCACGAAGAAGCGAACAAGTCATAATATATATTTTTCAAATTGGTTGCATTTTACTGATGAGTAACGATTAAGTAAAGAAAAGTGTCAGTAGTGATTTGAAAGCGAAATAGATGCCATTATGAATAGATTCGGATCGAAACATTAAGCGGAAAGAAAGCGCTGCATTCAAGTACCGAGATACTGCCCCAGGAAAACCCGCGAGAAAAGGTGGGATAACTTTCTAATTCGTCTTTTGACCGTAGGCTGCAACCTTACATTAACAACAGAACCTTTAAATACCCATATGTCATGTGGCCTGACTTACTTCAAAATTGTGCACACGAAACGTCGCAAATTTTAAAGCTTCAGCAGCTGCCAGACTAATTGAAACATCACGACAAAACATGATTTTGTCTTCTGGGCAACAATGCATGTCTGGGAACAACACATGCATTTGATCTGATTTTTCTCGGTTCATAGATCGGACCTGAACAGAACTAATTATATTTGAAGAGCAAAGTTTTAGCTGTTCATAGTAAAGCGATGAGAATTCCCTTCCTTTTTCGTAATTGAAGTAATCCTGCTTTCCATTGGGTTGCTAATGTAAACTGACTGTTTCACGTCACGCAAACCGCTTTCGCGACATTTACCCAATTGAGAATTGGTGGAAAGAAAGAAATCTCTGTGTTTCCTTGTACAATAACCTAGACTATTTTCCGACACTCCTCATCGCCGATTTCAGTGCAGCATTTTAATAAACATTTTAACTTCTTAGAATCATTTGTTCTCATTCTCCGAGCGCGGAGTCACTTACTTGGGAGATCACGCGATTGCCTGGCCAGCGGTATACGGCAGAAATTCAGCTAGCGATCCCTATTTTAAAATTTTGTCTTATTCTGATACAATATTCCCGACACCTTTCTTTACTAGAAAAGAAGGTAAATTTCTAGTCGCTTCATAATTTTCAAAAGTATAAGTTCAGAAGTCTGCACTATCGGAACATTTCGTCACTGACCTATATCGAGTTTGTATTTCCTCGTTTGATTTTAGAGTAGGTTAGAGATTTAGGTGATTGATAACGTGAAAAGACGTCATGAATCCTAAAATAATTGCCGACAATCTCGTCAAACAAATTTGAGAAAACATCCGTTTGAGACTGTCAGGATGATGGGTACTGTAATCTCAGCTATCAGTTAAAATTTCAGCCCATTGCTAAGCTGTGAGGAAACTTGGCACATCTCGGAGATCCATTATCAGTTAAAAAAAAAAGCGTAACATCTCAGCTGACAGTGAACATTTTGACGAATTCTCGCCTATTAGTCAAACCCCATCCAGGCCATCGTTGGAAACTTACACAGGCATTTCATAAGGACATTTCTTGCGGAGAAACAGGACTACCAACGTTGGTACTTTAAATTACTTTAGGGAAAAAGTCATTTCATTTATTGTTGATCATTGTTCTTATCATCTAATGAAATATACAAAAGTTGCATTTTGAAATTAATCAAAATTATAACAAAATTCTCGAACATGATTGGCTATCGGCAGCCCGATTTGAGCATTAATTGGACAGTGTACGCGTCATGCTTGTAATTGGACAGTATGCGTCATTTTGCGCGAGCTGTTGCGGTGCACTTTGTTGAGTAAACTGCTGTGTTTTTCAGCATTCGTGTCGTCCAATTCAGTCTGTAATCATACTCGTGATTAACAAATCGGACTCCCGCTTCGCGGTCGTCCGATTTTGTCAATCACTCGTATGATTACAGACCGAATTGGACTCCACTCAGTCCTATTACCATTATAAATAAAACTATATAAAGCAAAGATTTGTATTGTTTAAAAAATCGTTTTGAAATTTTGCCTAATTCCCTTTTGTACACGGTTAATTAGTTACACATGATTTATTTATAAGCAGCTTGGTGAAAAATCTCTTTTTTCTTTCCGTTTCGTTGTAGTGCCGTAATGACTCGAAACCAGTGTGGGATCTCGAACGACCAGATGACGAAAGCCGATATTAAAACGAAAGAATCCCCTGAGGATCTAAATACTGCTGAAGGTATCACTAATCACTTTATCACTGAAGCCAACTTAGGAGTACAGGACACAGAAATGGACAATAAACAATCGGATTCAAGCTTAACAAACACTGCAACCAAACAACAATTGAATCCTCTTGAACAAAACAATTCTAGTGCTTCCATTAGTAATGGAGATTCAAAATTCGTGAGCCTCCAACTACGCTTTTGGAAAAGAACGAAATCGGATGGGGCAAGGTACAAGAAACGAAAACCGACCTGCTATTTTGGAGACAAGGAAACAGAAGACAAAAGACCTACACGTTCACGAAGCGCGGAAGTCTGCCGAAAACCAGTTCAAAACGCTGCAGGAATTTGCGAAAGTCCTGTGTTCTTTTCAGCGATTGGTGAATGGACAATTGTCGATCTCGATCCTGAAGTTTTTGAGAAGGAAGACGCAAAGCGTATAATTTATTTAAGAAGAAAAAAAACCTCTTACAAGGAGGTAGAACCAGAAAACGTGTGTTCTATTCTATAGTGAGACTACCATTGCAAAGTTTGCGGAGAAAGTAATTCCTCATCTCTCTCGTGATCGACAGCGGAGTGCGATTCAATCTCACGAGATAATAGCTACAGGACTTGGTGTTCAAACTCTTTACACTCCGAGAAAAATTTACGAATTGGCATGGGCAGTCGAAATATTCCCATGAGACATCGCGGCATTGCGTCATAACAACAAGTTAAGTAGCAAGCTAGTTAAAATCTAAACCAAAGGAATTTCAATAGAAATGTCGCTTAAGAACAATAGGCCACTCGTCCGGTGGAATTTACCATTATTGTTATTTCTTAAACAGAGGGTTAGAATTTTCAAGAAGTAATAATCAGTTGTAATCTGTCCTGCTTTGTTGTGGACTACGTTTTACGGGTAACCTAGCCAACGGTGAGTTTTGTTAGTCCTAGCCTAGCGGTAAGTTTTGTTAGTCCTAGCGGCGAGGATAGTAGTTGTCCGGAGTTTTCAAGAACAGTGCAAGAACGACGACAATTGACGACTGTAGAATAAAACCTGTGGACACCACTTTTAGTGGAAGTATTTTCAGTTGAACAGGGAAGCAGTAAACGAACCAACGAAAGAACGCACAAATGCACAAATGCACAAATGTACACACAAACGAACGAACGAAAAAAGATACAATGGCACGCACGTATGCACGCTTTCAGTATACGATCGGGAACTAGTCATGGAACGAAAGGACGAACGAATGAGGAAATGAACGGACGAGCGAACGAACGAAAGAACGAACTAACAGACGAAGCCGAGCGAACAAATCATCGACAGAAAAATCAGAATAATCGGACGGACGAAGAGCGATTTTCGACTGAGTGTCAAAACACCCAAAAGAAAGTTATCACTCTGACCAATCACAGCTCGAACCAAATGCAAGTAGCTGTCACAAACCGCGGTATAACGTTTATGATTTGTCGAGATTGGTTTTAGTTCTGCTAAGCCTGATTGGATGAAAAAGTGGCGGAAGATTCTTAAACTAATCACAAAGCGTAGTAAACTAGCCGAATGCAAAGCAAAGAAAATGCGAATTACTTTCGACAGAAGCGCTCTAATATTAATGTTCGGCACAAATACCAAGTTATCAGTTTGGTTTCACCAACAGACACTATAGTATTTTGGTTATTTAACCGGTAACATGGATGCGCGGAGTGATCTTTACGTACACCAGTATTCGGCTTTTGGAACTTTTCGGCCACTCTCTGAATATAACTGACTTGTTCTTTAAATTTAACGGTATATATCAGCAAATATCAGCAAATATCAGAACCACCGAAAAGAAGCAAAAACTGTTTAGTGATAAACTGGAATTAGTGAGACACGAGACATGCTATAGAGATTATGGAGGGACATTATTAGCCTGTTGCTTGTGCACGGTGAACTTCATTACGCTTACATTGTATTACGCAAGTGTATTAAAACGCCAAATTCACCGAGAAACAACTGATGGATATTATTTCATGTACGAGTCTAAGCAAAGTCCACGGTATTGATTTATTTCAACACTCCTTATATTGATACGAGTTAACAAATATTCCGGCCTTGATGATTCACGTGTTTGTCTTGTGTCGCTCAGTTCAGTGCCCTTTCAATAGACTCTTGGTACAAAGCACGTCCGCTGAATTAAATGTCTCGGTCACGAAATGTTTTTTTTTTCCTCCAGGGCGCTCGTTCCCCCTTGCTTCTTTATAAAGCACATCCTTCACTCATGTTAGTTGGGACCACCTTTCGGTTTTACAGCCGGTTCGTTATTTAATATGTAAATGTCATAAACCAGTCGCATAAGCGAGCAAAATTAGTGGCAAATGCAAGTTCGTGCAGTAAACAAACAAACATAAAAAAACATGACATAATGTCGTGTTCGGTTCTGTATTTAGCCAACGGATTCCGAGGTCATTTAGGGTTCATAACAATCGGTGATGGATCTCGGGGAGGGGTAGAGGCTGAGAGTAACGCCACCGTCCCCCCTCCCCCACAACGCATACCTTGGATGAACTTATCACTCTATGTACAAAATAACGTAACTTACAGAATAAGACAATAACGTGAGCTTAATTCTTAGGGTCCTTTGAACCTCAATGTCAACATTCAAATTCTCCTTACAGGTCTCCATACATTTCTTCAGTATTTGTTTAGGGAATCTACATAACTAACCCTGAGTAGAGTAAACCCTAAAATGTTGGCCTTGCAATCTTTCGGCTTAAAGATTTAAATTAGCCTGTGTACATCCGTCCCCTCACCTCGAAAAAAAAAATTGGGGAGGGGAGGGGGCGGATGTACACACGCTAGATTTAAATCTTTTTTTTCTGTGAGATGAGCAAGAGAATAATACACTGGACGTCATAATCCTCTTCTGTTACATCTTGCCTACTTAGTCAAACAAGAGTCAAAACTCTTGGACAAAATCCTTAACTCAGAAATATTTTTATTTGCCATAAAATATACTGGACGTTAGAGGTACACGAGTTAGAATATCTACTAGCTCGTGTGATCGCCGTCTTGTAGCGGCGGGGTGGCTCGCGTGTCTCTGTGGTGAGCTTATGTTTAATGCCGAAACGAATGAAACACTGGTTATTCTTTATACATTAAGTCCAGTTACTCTTTAAGGTTATTTTAAGCAGCGTTGACATGTTCCTGTCAGTAATCTGAACTTTGATCTGCATTGTCCATTGACAATCGAACAACCGAACGGGGCATGGTGACGAGTATTCCACTTAAAGTATAAAAGGGAAGAACAGTTTTTCTTTTATCAAAGTTCAGTCAGCAGCTAGGTCCATACGGTTAGCTGTTACGTAAGCTCGCGAGAATCCACCATGTCTGAAAGTCCTTCAACGAAGCGAGGTCTCTTCCACAGGAAAATTGAAAAAAAACACGGTGAAAAATCTCCTGCATCAGAAAAGACGAAAAGACGAAAGCATAAACGGGAAAAGTCGATGGCATCCTCAGAGGCTTGGCGCCTCGAAACCCCTGAAGAGCACTCAGAAGCTGAAGGAGCCACAGCGGAAATCACTTCAAACGTCAAGGCACCGAAAGAAAAGAAAAAGGCCAAGAATCTAGCCCACCGGTTATCATTTGGAAAAGGAAAGAAGAAGAAAATACGCTTCACTGAAGAGAAAGAAAATATCTACCTGGAAGAGCCCGCTCCTTACTCTGTTGAATGGGAGCTGCCGGGAGGAGACAGCGTTAAGGAAGGAATTGTCCAACAGATGGTCAGCCAGATCGAAGGCATTTCAGAACCTGAAGTTGAAGAATCTTGGCCGGCCGCGGTGACTACAATCAATGTGCCCGAAGATGTCGGCTCCGAAATTGAAAGCTTGGTCCCTGTTCCGGCGTGCCCCACTGTAGAGGATATCAGCTCAGTGAAAACAACCATCCAGGCTGAACTCGAGGGGCCTAAAGAGATCGTCCCGTCAACTGGGATCCTTGGGGAAGCATTCACGAATTTGAAACAACTAGTGATAAACAACGAAAATCTTCTTCACGTGAATCCCTCCGGAAGTTTCCAATACGTGGTAAGCCTATATTCTTCCGATTTCGGCCTCGCCAAGCTTATTGGCTTCTGGAGTTTTCTTCTGAACCGGGCAAGCGAAGCTACTAGACAGGTTTTGGTGTACTTTATCACCTCCTTAATCAAGAAGTATCCACAATGCTTCAAAGTTCACTTAAAGAAGATAAAAGAGCACCAGAGAAAGAAACTCGAGGCAGCAAAACAGGAGATAAAAGTCGCTGAGACACTTATAGAATAGTTGATAGAAACTGCACTAACGATATCAAAATCTCAGTAACCTGCGTGGATTTTTAATTGCAGTGACCATTTGCTCATAATTACAAGCGCATGCTGTAAGAATTCAGTATGTTTTCACTATTACGTCGTATCAGAAAGAAGTTAATACAAAGTGCAAAAGATGAGTGATCAAATCGATGGTAATCTGATGAGAGATCACTTGATACGGTGCTTAGAATTTCTTCACGATATCAAAAGGTCGCTGTGTGCAAGTCACGCGTCCAAATACGACACCATTAACGTGAACAATCACTACGTTGAAAAACAAAAAGCAAATTTAGAAGCGTTTTTCATTTTGACCAAGGGAGCAATTATTTAAAATTTTGGTTGTAAAGCGTTGAGCTTTATGCTCAATGCAAATACTTGAAAAGGCCATCCAAGCAAATTATTCGCAAATCAGCCAATGGGGAATGAGTGGTGATAGAACAGCTAGCTTCTTATAATTAATTTGCCAGAAATTTGTTGATACCGTCCGTGGTTTCTATTTGTCAATTTGTGCAGGATTTTTTCGGATGGCTTATAAGAAATATTCTGAAAAGTTCCATTTTAAATGTCCACCATATCTACTGGTACAAAGCTTTATTAGCACTAACAATTGTTTAAATGTTTTTCGCTGTTTCTGACAAGCTGTTGTCCGAATGGTTTGGATTTGCTTCATTCATGCTTAAGATCACGAGGCTAGCCTAGCTGACTTGTAAAAAATAGAACACCAGAAAAATAAACCTTGTTGTTCAGTGATCAGACTTGACATTTGATATTCGAAGTTTAAGCAATGCGATGTGTGATATTTGACTGAGATTAGATTCCAGAAAATCAGTCATTATGAATTGTTCAGCTGCGTTCATAGACAGAGTCGAGTGTGTTTGTAGAACGAATACATTATTAGTGAGTTATGCAATCACGCTGCCATCTCACCATTTCAGTCCAAGTTCGAACAATCGGTAAATCAAGACATCTATGATTTTCTTTATTCTCATCACCTGTCAATTGGACCATGTGTTAATTTTGTAAGGAGATATTATAATTTGATCATTCTTGGGAATAAAAGGCTGGCAAAGCCAGGAGACAATACTATCGATATACGCGTTGTTTTGCGGCAATGTTAACAAAACTTTACATTCAACTCTATGAAATGATGCGTGCGATTTATTCAGGGGAAACAGAACTCGTTTTGATTAACCTGTTCACGTTCTCTTCACATGCAAATTACAGATGGCTTGTGTCGCATCTTTCACGTTCAAAATTACAAAGACATGTCGATTTCTCTAACCCTCTATTTTTCGAACTTCCCGATAACTCGAACCAAAAGTCATTTCTCTCCCCTCAGTCGAAAGCTTTAATTTTACACCCGAATTCTCGAACTGGCCGAGTTTTCAAACCAATTTTTGTTTGTCTTGGAGGATGGATATATCGGGATTTCACTGTAGGTGTTAACTTTGCACTTTGAAGACGCGTGGAATAGACTTTGAACCGACCTAAAAATAATTCTGATTGGCTAGTTGCCCCGTGGAAATCACGAAGTTCTTTTGACAAGTAACCAAGTAAGCAAAACAAATCTATTCGGTTACAAACAGTTGAGATTTGGATCCTCTAATATCTATCGACGGCAAAAAAAGAGCCTCATTTTGTTTAAATTCTGGCGAAAATGATTTAACTTCACGTGCACATATACCACGTGACTGCGTTTCAATAGATTCACACCTCTGCGATCAATGGACCTATTTAACATTTCTCCTTCAAATAATTTTATTCATTTCTGCGAAAACTAAGTTTGTAACGCAAGTGAAGCGATCTTTCTCAAAGATATTGGTGTAAAATGGCAGAGAGTTCAAAGCAGTCAGCTGGATTAGACAAGCAGCTTTTAGGCGCCAAAAACGAACCGGGAAAAGAGTCAAAACGTAAAAGGAAGAGAGGCAAAAAACCGACGCGAGCCCAGTCTAACGAAACTTTAGAGAGCCAGTTGAAAAATCAGGAAAGCTTGGCTTGTGACGAGCAAAACGTTGCCGATAATAACAAAGACTCCAAGTTAAATACTGAAGGAACATCCCAAACGGTTTCAGCAAGCGACGCAAGTGGAACATCGAACATTTCAAAAGAATTCAATCCGTCGGACGAGAAAATGACAAAAGAAGAGCAAACACAAGGGCACGGAAAACGTGACGAATGTACGAACAAAGATGTCCAGCAAGATCTCGAAACG